TGAAGAGCAAAGTGGTCTCGAAGATATAGATCACATGCCATCTGTTTATCTTGCCATGATCATTGGATTTGTGGTGGGTCTGTGGACAGTTTTCTGCACCATGTTGATGAAGAGAACGTGGAGGGCTTCCTTCTTCCAGTTTGTTGATATGATGTACGACATGGTTTATGTGCAAGTGGCTGTAAGGTGGGCTCACATGATGGAGAAAACTCAAGACAGTGCACCATGAAGTGCCAAACTCCGCAGCAAGCGAATTGCGTGTATCTAAATAGTATTTGTATGTTTGCACCATATCTCTATTTGTAGCTCTAAATGAGCCTTGGCTGGATGTCTCTACTGTACTGTATTGTTATTTGTATGTTTGAACCATATCTCTATTTGTAGCTCTAAATGAGCCTTGGCTGGACGATTGTACTGTATTGTATTGGTATTTGTATGTCTATACTTTAACAAATGAAGAGTATGTATATGTTTTGCTGCATTGTTTAAGCTGAAGAAAAAATATACAGCCTTATAACTGCACTGTGCCTTCTTCATGTTGTCCGGTTTGCTTTGTATCATCTATTCCCAGAGAGTGATGATCTCATTTGCATAGCAAAAAGAAAGAAAAAAAAGGCAACTGTTGGTTAAAATGTGAACATACTTCTTTGTAAGATTTGTCAGGAGGGAAGAGGTAGGAAGCTTTGTTCACCATCAGTGCTTGTAGACTTATTCATGTTAATCTGAAGTGTCATTTGAGCTGACATTTATTTAGGTTGGTCAGCGCCCAGCAAACTGTAGTATGACTCGGCCAATCACCATGCCCACCAAGTCCGTGTTTGCAAGCTAAGTGGAGAAGTTCAAGGAGCAGATAAAGCCCCTGGAGCAGGTGAATCAGCAGCCTTTTGTGACCACCCCTGCATCATTGGTCGTTACAGAGTGCCACAAAAGCAAAAGTGAAATTTACAAAATAATTTTTTTATGTCTACTGTCAGAAGAAATGGAGATTTTAGTACCCAGGAACTGAAACCGGTACAGGATGATAAGTACGAGTAATAAAAATTTGCTGGTGCTCACGATGGACATGTAGAACAAGGGAGAAATTTTTTGAGCAGTGAGAAACTGCGTTGATTACTGGGTCATATGGTGGCAGATTTACTTTGTCCCATCCCAGAGTCAACACTAACTTCTGTAATATAAAAAAACATTTAAACTTGTTTCCAGGAGAAATATTCATATAATTACCATCAAAACTAGCATTTTGCCGGGGAAGATCGGATGACTGCATCAGATATCTAATATAAGGGTCTCTGTTTCAGCAAAGCACCCCCGAGGACCAGCAGAGTGCGCGAGGTTCGGCCAGTCTGGTGACGTTGACATGGCACACGGACAGAAATCAAGAACCACCAGGTGCTCCAAAAGTGTATAGATCGAACGAACACCAACGCCTCGATTCCACTCCTCAGGCATTAGTCCCGAATCAGCTCGGCAGAGAGATGCTCTGCTTTCACTCGTCATCTAGAAAAGGGGATTCTGAATCGAAAAATTCAGGTTGTTTACTGAATACGGTTGTTAACTGCACCCAGGGCCACAAATTCATGCTGTGTGTGATGCCAAGTCTGATCACAGAACTTAGCTTCTGGTATCACTATCACACATCCAAAATACCTATAGCTGGTACAAAAACCCTTTGCTGTATACATGGATTTCCAAATTAATTCTCTCACAACACTACAGTACAATCAGTATACAGTCGCAAACACGGATGGAACATATGAAAAATACATGCTTTAAAAGTGATGCGAAATTTGAAGCAGGGGAGCGCATCTGGTTCTTGCCACCCCATGCTACGGAAGCAACATCCATCATGACGGAAGTAACCACAGACCACGGCCAAGGAAAGTGTCTGGCCAGGGGTGTCTTTCCGGGCTTCTCGACGCGAGATTCCATGACTCTGTAGTGCGGCCGATGTTACTCACATTATACAATCGCTTAACCACAAATTGACATATTGTAAAACAGGTGCACTATGTGATACAGTAAATTTATACACTAAATATCGTAGTCTTCTGGAGTAAAGGAACAGAACAAGTATTACATGATCCGCGAGACAACAAAAATAAACTCATCTATTATCAGTGTTGTTTACTCTGTGGTGTGTGCGGATGACATGATTAGCAAGACAACAGAATGGACTGGCACACACAAAATTATAGGCTGTTAATAGGAATCTTACTTGGCTCAGATTGAAGCAAACATTTTGCTTTTAGTATCAACACACAATGGTGAGCGACATTATACAAGCCTGGTCTAAAGATAAGCAAGTGGGATCTATTTACATTTCTATTCTCTCTTTCCCCCTCCTGGAATCTCAACCGCTCAAGAACCTACTTTTCTGAAGAGGATACGTTATCGAGCAATATTTCTCTTCAGCACAGGGGCTGCTTTGCTCCAACTGTTTGGTCTTTCCTGCTTCAGTTTGTGCTAGTTTCTAATCTCTTGTTTCCTTCTATATCCTCGTTACCTTGGTCTTCCTTCTCAAGCCTAGTCTAACAGTCTGATCTACCCTATAATCTAGTGACCATTACAAAAGCAGCCGCACCATGGGTTCACAGTGGGTACTCAAATCAAATCAATAGTTGTTTCTATATTTATCAAGTTCTATTAACTGAATCTAGTACAGTACATTTCTGTACTTCTCTTGCCTGAATCCAGTACCAACAATGAGGATGATCATTCAGGCCAAATATTCAAATACCGTAGGATATTTCTATGAGCAGAAACGATACCTTCCTGTCCCTACAATCAAATCTGAAAGCAAAATGACGCTATAGCACTAGCCGCAGGCAGGTGCATTTCTTGGATCTGTGAAAGGCCTGCAGAATTCACATTAGATACACAAGCAGCATCTCTGTAGTAGTATTACAGCACAGATGAAACCATAGGAGAAAATCTGTACAGATTATATGTTGCCCATTGCCACCCTGACATCTTTAACTAGGAAAAGACAGTGCAAAACCATTCTCAACCATTTGGGCAAATGATGGTCATGTTCAAAACGAGGTTCTCTAGCCTCGCACTCTTCTTTTTTCTCAGGATATCAAATACAACGGACAAATTCTGGTCACTGACTGTCTTTGCTCCCTCTGAAGAATCAGCAAGCTGCATATCAAGGAGATGACATGAATCCATTGCCGGACCGGAAGTGATCATACACTTCTGAGAAGAATCAACAATGCAACGGTAAGGAAAGAAATCTAGCTAGCAACCCAAAACTTAACAGAGACAACAGAAGATATCAAGCACAGCACATGGATGGTACTGTATAAGATGTTTCTTTAAACAAATAAAATGCTTGAGAATTTAAGCATAGAATTAACTAAATCCGCCTAAATCGGTGATGTGGGACTAAAAAACTGCAGTGCAGGCTCACCGCCGGATGAAGCAGCCGAGTCCCGCTTCCGCCTGCCGTCGGCACACTCATTGCCGGCGTGGGGAGCGAGCCGGTGCGCGATGCCCCGTCCTCCTCGTCCGCTTGACATCTCCCGTCGTCTGCTGCTCACTTGACTGACCTCGAGCGAATTGGTCCCAAACTCTGCGGTGGAGTACGGCTGTACGGGGGGGAGGAATGCAGCGGCGGAAGGAGCAGAGTCACCGGCGTCAATGGATTTGGGGGAGGAAAGCGACCCAGGTTAGCCAATGTTATACCGGCCCGGCCCATCAAGCCCTCTAAAATGGCCAGGTTGTGTGGAAGACACGCACACGCCCGTCTCCGTTCGCCTCTCCGCCGCCGTCGAGCTCTGCGGCTCACAGCCTTGCCGCCGCGACCGGATAGAGTTGGGGAGGCATGCCGGTGGACGACGTTCGGTCTGCAGGCGAGCGGCCTGAGCGGCGCCGTCCGTGGTGGGGCGGATGGTGAGCGACGCGCACCTATAGGACGATCCCGACGACGCCTTCCGCCCCGGCCCTCCTCAACCGCCTGCTTGATTCCCGCAGGTTCGGTTCGGTTCGGAAATTCCTCTCCTCCCGTGGAACGGATCCTGACAACGCTCGGACTTATTTGTGTCAGCAGCAGGTGGTCAAGATTTGGCGGCATAGTCGCCGGAGGTAAAGAAGATCTTCTGTCTGTTTCCCATTTCATCCTGCCTGTGATGGGTTGCTGCCTCATAAAATGTGGCTACAATTACTACTTCTTCAGTTAAATTCATGTTGTGATCATTGCATATTAGGATCAAATGCAAATTTATGGATGCTTGAACTAAGCCATGAATTTGCTGACACTATATATTTGATATGTAAGCAGAAACTTTTATTGTGACGTTGTGGGCAGAGATCATGCTACTGCATAATTTTGAAGAATTTGTGGCTAGATTGAACTCTATTTTAACCTCTGATTTCATCCCGTAAAGTGTTTGATGAATTGAGTATGTAGATTATATAGATGATGATGTGGTAGATTTGTAAATAGCAACAGAGCACCCAAAATTTAGATCTATTGAGTATAGATAAACATGTTTTCTTATGTATTTGTGTGTGAGCCTTCTTTGTATTTCAGAGTGGCCGCATCATGCGAAATACCCAATGGGAGAGCTGGCTAGAGGAGATAGTGACCCCGAGGCAGAGGCCGCAGAGCATCCTTTGTTCCCTCGCATCACGGGGTGCCGGCTTCGATGGCTCAGCGTCATCACCTCAAGAACTGACACACGGCGCTTCTGCGGTGGCTGGCGGCCAGGGCAGAGGCGTTGTCGTGGAAACAGATGAACACCGTAGCACAAGCAAGGAGCCACCCATGACTTCTATAAATATCTGTGTGCGGTTGCCTAATTTTGTAATACCTGAGAGCTTCCTCACCATCTGCCATTCCTGTCTCCTTTGGAAAAATCTCCAGTCAAACAAGCAAGCAAGAGTATCACAATGTGTATTCTTTCTTTTTGTTCCCAGATTTTTTTTCTTCTGCGGAGCAGCTTTATTTTATATACACTGATGCAATATTTTTTGCAGGATATTGAAAATTTACAAAGATGCCAAGCAGATTGCTAAATTTGCTCAAGCAGCCTGGCAGCGGATACAAAGAAGGTGAGTTCACTGTAAGTAATCCTACAGATCTTTTGATTCTCTTTTTTGTTTGTGATCCTGCTATATGTATAGTAAACTGATTATGATTTTTCTTTGGGTTGAAGGAAACTGTGGAATCCCCAGAACTAAAAAAATGATAGACTAAAACAGCTCAAAAGTTATATACAAACAAAAGAATGCATCAGGGAATAGGATTCTTCTCAATTCCTTTATTTTTCTGAGGGAGTTCACATTCTTTTCTTCTCCCTGGTTCCCTTTCTTTTCCCTTTACAGGGAGAAAGATAGGAGATTCTTTTCTTGAGCCTTGCCTGCTGGTAAAGCTAAAGCTAACGTGTGCTGTGCTGTACGTATTATCACAACTAAGCAAGGTAGATGATCCCTTTCCATCTTGGTGGAGCATGGGTCGATCATACATATGACCATGCATGAGTTGGTAACTGCATGCGTCATTTCTGGTGCTCGGCTGTGTTCACACCTCATCCAATTGGCATACAACTTGAGAGAGAAAAGTTAGGGTGAAGACGAACAACATGGCGCATGTAGCCGGTTTGCTTGCCTCAGCTGTGGTTTCAGCGGTGGGCAATAAGCTGGGTTCTGCCATTGGGGATGAGGTCACGATGCTGTGCAGCTTCAAGGACGACCTCCAGGACATGAAGGACACACTGGAGTACATGGAGGCGGCGCTCAAGGATGCTGAGAAGCGGTCTGTCACGGAGGAGTTGGTGCGGGTGTGGCTCAACCGGCTCAAGCACGCTGCCTACGACATCTCTTACATGCTCGACGAGTTCAAAGCTAATAGTGAACCAGCCTCCAGAAAGGTATACATATGCCACCCGTGCCTTATCTTGATCGGTTTTTCGTTAATTAATATTCTTGGCTAGTACAGAGTTTGTTGCTTTGGTCAAATAATTTGATTATTTAATTATATGATTGTCCACAAAACCATGCTTGATCAGTGGTGGTGGCAGGACAAGTGAAATTATGGTGTTGGGGAGGGCCAGTTAGAGAACTGCTGTTCATGTGTTCATTTAGGAACAAATCCATGGTATTAGGGGGGCCCAGAGCCCCTGCTGCCCCCCTGGCTCCGCCACTGTGCTTGATCATCTGAACGTACTTTCCAATGTAAGCAACTGGTCACTAGTTAATTGCAATGTTTAAAGCTTAAAACTTGTTGGTGCCCTTCTAAAAATTAAAGCCTACTTAAATCTGGTGTACAAGAGGCATTTAGCCTACTTAAATTTGGTGTACAAATCCCGGCCGTGAAACTAGGTATATAAGAATAAAAATTTGTACTACAAGAGGGATGCTATGTTTTACATCCGTCCAAAAGTTTTATGTTATATCTACCATGCAGCATGTAGTTACCGGGTAGAGGGATCCAGAATACTACATCTTATTAAAGCCGGGTGTAGTTGCTCCAAGGTTTTATATTATATCATAATGACTTGTTGAAATTTCTTGTATATGATTGGGAAGCTGGACTGTTTTGCTATTGCACCCAAGATTGCCATGGCTTATAAGATGAAGAAAATGAGAGGCCAGCTGAGGAAGATCAAAGAGGATCACGAGAGTTTCAAATTCACACATGACAACTCCAGCCTAATTGATGTGCACCAGCTTCCCGATCCACGGGAAACAACATCAAATGTGATTGAATCACTCATCATAGGAAGAGACAAAGACAGGATGAATGTCCTTTCTTTGTTATCCACAAGCAATAACAACAAAGAACATATAACCGTTCTTCCTATCTGTGGGCTTGGAGGCATAGGAAAATCAACTTTGGCACAATTGGTTTTCAATGATACTCAATTCAAAGATTATAATCATCGGGTTTGGGTTTATGTATCCCAGGTGTTTGATTTGAAAAAAATAGGGAACTCCATAATTTCTCAAGTACTCGGAAAAGGAAGCCAAAATCTAGATACAAGGGAGTTGATAGACCAACGCCTTAAAGATCTACTTCAAGATAAGAAGACTTTAATTGTTTTAGATGACATATGGGAGACAGATAACTTCCAACTGGATCAACTCAAGCTTATGTTGAATGTAGGCTCCAAGATGAAAGTCTTGGTCACAACACGCAGCAAAGACATTGCAAGAAAAATGTGTACTGTTGGTGTTCAACCATACTTGCTAGATCCCTTGGACAACGACATGTGCTGGAGAATAATCAAGCAAAATAGTGGTTTTGAATCTAGGGTTGATAAAGGCCAAGCTGAACCAGTTGGACAGATAATTGCAAGGAAATGTGGAGGTTTGCCATTAGCATCTCAAGCACTTGGATTCTTGCTATCTGGAATGGATCTTAGTGACTGGAAAGCTATGTGCAATAATGATATTTGGGATGAACCATTTTCTGATAGTACAGTGTTACCATCCTTGAAGTTAACTTACAATACTTTGACACCATATTTGAGGTTATGCTTTGCCTATTGTGGCATCTTTCCTAAAGGTCACAATATAAATAAAGATGATCTTATCCATCAATGGATTGCCCTTGGTTTCATCGAGCCATCTAATAACTTTTCGGCCATACAACTTGCCGAGAAGTATATTAGGCAATTCATGGGGATGTCTTTCCTTCAGCATTCAAAACTGCGCACAGAATTGCCTAAGGTGAGTTAGTACAAAATACTTATACAATATAGATAAAGAGTATTCTTTTTTACTCGTTATCAAATGGCATGCAACAACTGCTGTGAAAAAGCATGCATGCATGTTACTCCCTCTGTAAACTAATATAAGAGCGCTTAGATCACTAAAGTAGTAATCTAAACACTCTTATATTAGTTTACGGAGGGAGTATATATGTTAACAGTTTGGTACATTAATCCATGCATATGTTTCTCCCTTTGTGGCAAATAAAGCACTCAAGATATTGGTGCATCAGAATATACTTCACTCTTTCCTCTAAAAATAGCCCAACTGTAGGGTACCTGCTGGAAGAAAAAAGCAAAGTAACTTCTTCATCCATCCCGTTGTAGTTCGTCAAATGCCATTTGGATCACTACACATACATACAGTTAATGCATGGTATTGTATTTTGTTTGGCTTACCGAATAGTACAGCCCACTATATACTTGGCTGAACAATATTTTCCCTAAAAAATGTAAACACGTACAAGATGGAATTACTTAATACTTAATACGTGCTACAAAATTTCATTGGAGCACCCTAAAGTTACATGCCATTTCCATAGTAAATCTCTCCCCCCTAAACTCCAAAAGAATTTGTATTGAGTTTCCCGGTTCTTTAAACAAGTCTGCATTTGCACCACAACCACTTTTGCCTATGAGGTGAGAGGAGGTGGCAACTGGCAAGACGGATCAATTTTGACCACCAGGCCAGCTTGACATTGGATTTACCTTCTCACTACATTTTCTATCTCCTTCTCTCATCTTGTGAGTTATGACTACTACCAAGTTGTCATTGTAGTCCTCATTCTGCTTGCTACCTCTTTGATAGAGCCTCGACTATACACCGTCGTGGAGGTGACCCACGGTGGAAGGTATGTCGTCGTGTGCACCCGCCGCGAGATCTACCTCCGCCTAGCTCCGTTGCCGCCCTCAGCTGCTCCCGGCGTTGGGTTCAAAGGATATGAGGTGCTCTATAAAATTCCTACAAGGTGCTCAACAAGATTGGGAGGGAGATAGAAGCAAAAATGAAATATAGGTAGATCATTATAGGTAAATCGAGGGAGGGGAGGCACTTTTTGTGCTCTACCTAGCTATTATAGGTACTCTATCTAAAAGTGCTTTTAAGTAGAGGGTTTTAGCTAGACTGCTGGATTTTCTTTAAGCGCATAAGGGCAAGCGTAGGTGCGATGAGCTGTTTCTTGGACGGCACAGGTAGTTGGGCCATTGTGAATCGCGGCGAGCAGAAGTGCAAACATAGACAATTTTTTGGCCTGCCAAGTTCAGCATATTAATCTTTCTGTAAAAGGATCATGTAACTTCATTTAGGTAAATAATATTGTTTGCTTGACAAATTTTCCGGTGGGATTAATCCTATTTTTTTGGTTTCAGATAATTCCAAAAACAATCTTCACCATGCATGATCTGGTGCATGATCTCGCAAGATCGATCATTACTGAAGAGTTGGTTGTCTTTGATGCTAAAAGAGCGAGCAGTACTAGAAGAAAAGAATATTGTTGTTATGCGTCTCTTACAAATTACAATACTACAGATTACAACAAGGCAAGGAAGATGTCAACTATTTTTCCCTCCAAGTTAAGGGCGATGCATTTTTTCAATTCTGAAATCCATGGTGGTGTATTTTCATTTCCAAAGTGCTTGCGTGTCTTGGATCTATCTGGATGCTCCATCACAGAGTTTCCAAGTGCTCTAGGACAAGTGAAGCAATTGGAGGTTCTTATTGCTCCAAATCTCGAAGATCGGCAATTTCCCGAGAGTATCACTCAGTTCTCAAAATTACATTACCTGAACCTCAGTGGATCAGATAAAATTTCTGCAATACCAAGCTCGATTGGCAAACTTGAGAGTCTAGCGCATCTTGACTTATCTTATTGTACCAGTGTCGAAGTCATACCAGAGGCTTTTGGAAGCCTAAAAAACCTTCAAACAATAGACCTCACATGGTGTGAGAAACTAGAGTCCCTTCCAGAGAGCCTTGGAAGCCTCAAAAACCTTCAAACACTCGACCTCGCACGGTGCAAGAAACTAGAGTCCCTTCCAGAGAGCCTTGGAAGCCTCAAAAACCTTCGAACACTGAACCTCTTATACTGCTGGCAATTGAAGTCCCTTCCAGAGAGCCTTGGAAGGCTTGAAAACCTTCAAACACTAGACCTCTCAGAATGTATGAAACTAGTGTGCCTTCCAGAGAGCTTTGGAAGCCTCAAAAACCTTCAAACACTAGACCTCACATGGTGCTGGAAACTAAAGCCCCTTCCGAAGAGCCTTGGAAGCCTCACAAACCTTCGTTCCCTCGACCTCACACACTGCTGGGTAATAGAGTCCCTTCCAGAGACTCTTGGAAGCCTAAAAAACCTTCAAACACTGAACCTCAGAGGCTGTAACAAACTAGAGTATCTTCCGGAGAGCCTTGAAAGCCTCAAAAATCTTCAAACACTCGACATTGGAGGCTGTAGTAAACTAGAGTACCTTCCAGAGAGCCTTGAAAACCTGGTTGGAAACCTGAAAATCACTGGGAGCTGGAAACCTAAAAATCATTGGAAGAGGTTAAGGTTATGGATGCGAGAGCATCAAGTCCTTGCCACAGTGTCTACAACAACTCACCAGTCCCCAGATGGTACATAATGTGGACAGCGGCGAACTAAGGCTGTTGTGTGAACCAGGCTTGCCCGCATCAAAAACATTGTAAGTGCTCTACAAAAATTTACTATCTAAATACAGTTTCTAAGCTTCCTTTACATGCACACAATGTACATTTGTTGTTATTTTTAATATGGTGGCACAGAATTTTGAAAAAAATGAAAAACTAAAATGCACCCTAACCGGATGCAGAACCTATCCATTCTACAGGAACTGCAGAAGCATACATGCACCGTTATCAATCAGCTGAAATGATAGGAGTACGTCTTCTCTGGGAAAGCGAAAAAGCTTCATGGAGCGGTCCAAAGATGAGGTCTAGCGCTGCACATGGTGATTTGTGCTCTTTAGTACTCCCGTCATACTCTTATGTTCACATATAGACAATATATACTACACTAGAGTAAATCTATCAGATCTTTTGGTCACATGGCAAAAAATTATGGTGTGGTGGTTGTGTTTGTGAGCACTCAAAACCGAAGGAACGCTCACCAGTTTCCATCAAGTTGTAGAACAAGAAGGAAATAATAAAATCAAGAAGAAACGTATGTTAGGATACTTTAACTCTTTCAGTAATATTGGAGGCGGAAATATATAATTGCTTTTTGGGCCTTGTCATGCCAGAAAATATATATTGGCGGCCGTAATCCAGAAGAGATGGATGAGATCCAAGCAACAACCATGCATGCATCTCTGTTGTAGAAAGTGAAGCACTAGTTCAATGTACTGTTGGGTAGCTCGATTTGTGATCAATGTTAAAAATCGATGATAAGTTACCATAGCTCTTGATAGACATCATGTCTTCTCTGTTTCGTTGACTTAACTCTGAAACAACCGTAAGCAAACTCGTGCAATATTACAGACCTGTGTATCCTTTTTTGCAGGAAAAGCATGACGGGGCGCGTAAATCTTTAGCCAAGGACGGAAGCAGTTGAGCTAACCAAATCTCAAGACTCTGCTTGCTGTCAAAGGGAGCTAAACTGCAACATCGGTGGCTAGCTGATGGCCTGACTAAGAAAGTACAGTGAAGGTGGTTGGATCGACTCGTGTGAACTCAATAGAAGAAGGGGGGCCGAAGTGAAAGAAGGCAGCTGGTTGTCATCAGGAAGATGAAGCAGAGACGCTTCTCTCTCTTTGTGAACCAGCTGGGGGACCTGCAACATCTCCGTCATTGAGGCCGGTAATGCACACATCATCGACAACAAGTTCTTTCGAAGCTCTGCTTCTTCTCGTCTGCTTCGTCAGCTCTGTAACCCCACAGGGATTGGCTGGGACTACTTCATTGCTGAATTCTTGGGTGACAAAAACCCATTGCCTGTGGACTCCTGAAAATCTCTGTTGATAAGTGTTTGAGTTAATTCCTGTGAAAAGCTGGCACGTGCTTTGTAAGCACATTAGTTAGTTTTATTCCTGATAAGTTTGCTTTGCTCAGCAGTTTGTAGATCTATCATCTTGGTTGCCGGTCAAAAGAAAACAGCGGAAACTTCAGGGTTCAGTTCCTGGTTTGAATTTTTGTTGTTGTGATTAGATTCAAAAATTATGTGACAGTTGTGTTTTGAGCACTCAAAACTGAAGTTGCGCTCACCCCAAAACTGAAGGAGCGTTCACCAGTTTCCATCAAGTTGTTATTTATCCATATGTGTTTACAACAAGGTGCTTCTCTTGATCAACTCAAAAGTAAACCAAGGTAAGCATTTCAGACCATCTCCTTTTGCTCTTCAGCTTCTGCTTCACCAGACCACATCCTGCTGCGTCAGCAAGCACTTAACGGTCTTCGTCCCGGAGAAGGGGGACTCGGCAGCAGAGAGGCTCATCTTGCCCAGCCGCTTCTGTGAAGGTCGCAATATGCCATCCATTGTTGTTATAGTAGTTTACGATGTGCTTTTGTGTTAGGCTCCTGCTACTCGTGTGTTGTATCTCTCCTGCTGCCTCTGGAACAACCATATCTCATGTGTTTGATATTGTTGGACCGGTCGCGACTTCCATATCAAATGGTGCTTTTATGTAGAACCTTCCATCTCTTCTGCCGGCAATCTGAATTTAATGTTTTTTGATTTTTGCTTTCTCCATTGCCATCAGGTGGTTCTTTACTTCCTCGAATTGCATACCCCATCAGGATACATTCCAGACAGCTGCATCTTAAGTAAAAGCAATTCAGAATATATTTGTACCATTGAAGCGAAACCTGGAGCTGAAGCACCTCCTCCTCTGTTTCCACTAGATCAACTCTGCCCACACTGAAAAACTTGGTCCTTCTTAGATACGTCGTCATCGGTTCAAGACAACTGTAAGATACTCTCAGTTGAATTCTGTACGTGCTATTGATTCTGCTCTGCGTTCCATGTGTAATTATTTCCAGCCAGCAGCAAGGAGCAAATTGCCATGATGCGTCTCACCAATGAAACAGAAGCTCACCATTTCTTGACGGTTGTGAGTTGCCAAATTAGCAACCTCTTGACGGTTCCCCTAAAGCATGGATGTACATAATTAGCGCATATAAATTACCGAAAAAGGGTTTTCCCCGCTTTGTATTCCAAAGCACCAACACCGATTACAGATCGCTGGGGCGAGCAGCACAACAAGCCCAAAAGAAAAAGAAAAAGAAACAAATGCCAACAACGGCAGCTCAACCAAGCATGGATGACCCGCCACCGCTGCGCTCACCGGAGACAAACCACCATAGCCCGAGGCTTCGATCGGCCGCGTACCAAGCAGCACCCCCAAGAGGGAATGCGACGCCGACGACGCTGCTGCCCGGACGGATCCTAGGGTTTCCCCCGGCACGTGGAGAGAGTTGGGGGATGGATAACAACAACACCCTCCAGGAAGGAAAGGTGGCACCCGCAGGCATCACCGCATCGGAGCCGAAGACCGGCAAGGATTTCTCCCACACTCCAAACCCCGCCGCCCGACCGAACCGGAGCCGACCAGCCAAACCTCCGCCCACCACCTTGCGCCACCATGGTTGCACCACTGCCCATGCCGCCTCACTGTGAACACCACCACGAGGCCAGGAGACCCGAAGAGAAACGCCAAACGACGGAAGCAGCGGCACCGCTACCGAGCAGGAGGGACCCACCTCCCCCGCCAACGTGCAGGAGGCCCGAGCCCCCAGCACCGTCGCGGTCGCCGGCCGGACGCGGCAGCAGGGCACACCAGGCCACCCCTGGCCCGGCCGAGCCCAAACGGGCCTACAAAGCCTCGCCGGCCACGCTGCAGCAATTTGGTATCCGCGTCGCCAGCCCGCCGCCGCTCGCCGCCACGCCCCGGCCTCCTGGAGGTCGTGCTGCAGGCTCACCCCGCCGCCGGCCCGCCCGGGCCCAGATGGGGCCCGAAGGGCCTAGATCTGGGTCGAGCGGGCGCCGTCAGGACACACCGCCGCACCACTCCGCCACCAACGGCGACGCCGCCGTCCAGCCATCTGCCCGCGTAGCGCCAGGACCCCGCCGCCATGCCGGACCGCCGCCGCCTAGGTACACCCCCCAGCCTGCCCCGTCCCGCGCCAGAGGAAGCCGAGAGGGGAAAAGCGAGGGGGCCGCCGCCGCCAGCGTCGCCCGGGCCAGGCCCGGCGGCGGGGAGGGAAGGAGGAGGGAGGGTCGCTGGAGAAGGAGATCGGGGCGCGGCCGGTCGCCTGCGGAGGCGACGTGGTCGCGAGAGCCAGCGCATATTAATTTAATCTTAACACCCTCCACAGTCCACACTTTATGTACTTTTCCTTTGCTTGTTGGGTAGCTTTGGCTGTCCGAGTTGTTATAAGTTTTAGCCATAACTTTAGTATTAGAAAAGTCGGCATGGCAAAAGGAAGTAGCTTTGTAGCCAACGTGACAAATCCTGATGATTTTTTTTTTTTGAAGTATCCTTTTGATTCATCTTGCTGATTGCTGAGCACTGCGAGCCAAGATCTCACAGGGTCATTTATTTCCAAAGAGAAGCATGGGAAGGCACCAACCCTGAGAATTACACACGGCCAAACAAACAAAACAAGAATGATAGGTTTGCCCTTGACATCTCGGTGAGCATAAAATAAGCCAAACAATATAATTGACATGAAACCAGATGTTGTAATAATTAGTCGTATGTACTGTGTTTCTTTTCTCTGAGAGATGGTAGGACATGGGAGCAGATCCAGTGTTCCTCCAAAGAAGTCCTCACTGGCTAGTTGCCTCCAAGTGAGGCGGGAGTTTTATTTCCAAATACTCTGTTTCATGGCACACCACCTTGCAGATTATTATCAGACAAATCCAGACGGGTGAGCTGCTTTAAGCCGCCAAGCTCTATTGGGATGAAGCCCAACAAATTGTTTTGCTGAAGGTTTAGGTAATCTAACTTTCCAAGATTACCAAAAGAACTTGGAACTTGACCCACGAACTTGTTGAATGACATGTCTAACCACTCTAGCCCAGAAATATTGCCTAGTGATGCTGGGAGATGACCTTCAAAATTGTTATCGTCCAGATAGAGATATGCAAGATTCAGGAGGGTATCACCAAAGTTAGACGGCAGTGTTTTCCCAAGCATATTGGAACCTAATAATAAATATTGGAGAGAAGACTGATTGTATTTGTACAGGGTTTCCGGGATTTCACCTAATAGCCTATTTGAAGCAAGGATTAATATAGAAAGATTTGGGAGTTTTCCCAACTCATCAGGAATGGTTCCGGTGAGCTTATTATCACCAAGCGAGATCTCTTCAAGCTGACTGATGTTTTTTAGGCTTGGTGGGATTGTTCCGGTGAGATTATTTCCTCCAAGATCTAACATCAGTAGATTGGATAGGCGATCTATACCGCTGGGAACTTCTCCTATTAGTAAGTTGCGAGACAGGACTAGGCTCCGTAGCTTGGAGCAGTTTGTAAGAGTATCCGGAATGATCCCTTGCAGTGAGTTGCCCCACAAGGAAAGGTGCTCCAATCTTTTTTTTAGAACATAGACGTCAAGGACGTCCGACTTTAAATTAATAAAGCCCACAAACTTAGGCAGAGTATCAC